CCCCCCCCCCCCCCCCCCCCCCCCCCCCCCCCCCCCTTCATCCTCCCCCGTTCTCCGCCTTCCACAGAGAACTGGAGAAGGGTTTCAACTTTGACTGCTGCATGAATGTATGTGTTTCAGATGTTGCGTTGGTACTAATCTCCCAAGGCGCAGTTGAGTTATCTTTTTAGCAAGTACTAAATCAAAAAGTATCACTTTAAGTGAGTTTTCAAGCAGCGCATCGCAGGAATTTCATAAGACCTGATGACATACCTCGCCACAATCGATGCACTTAAAACAAAATCGTGCACCCCTCTCGTTTTTACAATCTTTGCATTCCACTTGAATGGCATTCCTGCAACAAAATATGCCATTTTAATAAGCAAAACAACATAATCCATTCAACAGGATATTATGGCCTGAACAGCAGTGCAATACGCACACATACATACACATATATACATGCATGCACACACACACACAGACACACACACACACACGTACATGCACACATAATGGTATCATAAACACATACGTACACACACACGCACAGGGCCTTGCAAATTTTAAGGCTACTTGAAAATTGGTTATTAAATTCCGATTTTTTAAATGAACACACTCTTAAATTTGAATTCCGCCAAATATCATTTTGCATCTACATATTTTTACTGTTTCCAAAGAAAGCCAAAACTGGCCTCATCAGAAACAGAAACTAACAATTTAAGTTTTGTTTTAAAACTTTTGAAAACTTCTCAGGGCTGGTTTTCAAGAATGCAAAAAGACGTACTTCTGAAGAACATCATTCCAGCAATCGGGTTCTTGTGTAACAAGCACTGCACTGGATGAGCATACGGAACAATAAACCCGTAATTTGGCGCGTTTTACGGCAATGCAATTCTTACAGAATGCTTGGAAGGATGCAATGTTCGAGCTTGCAGAGCATGATGCATCTCCATCAACTGGCATCTGGCACTTCTCCGCAGCAACGATCGCTGTCAGACAACTAAATCGAGAAACATTTGAAGTCCACGTACGTGAGGTTACACGTTTTACTTGTGGTACTTTGATCAGCTGTTGTTTCATCATCGCATTCCTTCTCGTCGTGAAAAATTTTCCCATATTCCTCTACTAAGTACTGGAAAATTTGGAATGCTACTAAAATGCTAATGGAAATAATCAAAATGACAGAGTTAAAAGGCTGGAGCAAGACGGGGTAAAGACGTACTTTACGGCTGCATGTGTAATTTGGTTGCAGTTTAGGCCAACAAAGAAAAAAAAAAACAGTCGAATTTTAATATTTAGTGAAACCCAAAAGAGACATTTAGCAATCTCGCGTGTGCAAACCGGTATTTAAACTAGATGACGTCCATGTTTCATCCCTGAACTGTAGGTTACCCCGCAAATGCGTACTCGGGAACTACATGGGCAAGAACGCCTATTCTGGAGATGGGGGTTAGTATGCACATAGATTAAGTTGCCAAAGTTTCAGCCTTGTAGCTTTTCTGGTCTCGAATGAAAAATCGGTACAGGGCACACGTACAAACACAAACACACATACACTGAAAATCCTTGACAATATGCATTTTTGCATTGCGTAGATGCAAAAAAAAAACACACACACACACAGAAATATAAAATGCGAAGACTATTTGATGAGTGACCAGTCATGTCAGGAGCAGTTATTTTCATAACTTATTTTTCGGAACGTTAGGATTACCAGCAGGCTGACCACAAGGCGAAACAATCGTGAAATGAAGAAAGATGGCGGCTCCACCACTGGGGACCGTTCCGAATATGATTCAGTGATGGAGCAGTGGCTATTTTAAATGCCAAATAGTAATAAAATTTCTTTTCTATGCAATCAATTGGCTTACAAACGTACGTTTGCGGTCCG